TACATATGTCCATGTAGGGGGACGTTTCATCGAAACCAAAATTCGCAATGAGTTAAATGAAGCAGAACTGGAGGTTCTGGTATGAAACAGGCAAATTTCATGCCGAGTGTGTGAGAGAAGTCTTAGCCACATGCCCACGTGCTGCGTTCATGCACGTGAAGAAATATGACAGAACGACTAGCTCTTAGGTGAGACACAATGCGGGAGGGTAAATATTATCCTAGACAAACCAGATTGTTTTAGGTGGGTTTGAGTTACTATCTAGCTCACTTGGAATCCTGGCAAAAGAGGAGGCAAGGGATCTGACTCAATGAAATGGCTAATATGTTGCAAGGAGTCCAGGTTGGTGATGTTTAGTAACAGTCCAGTTAGTTTAGGGAGCTACAGTGTCTGAATTATTGAAAACTCTATAATGCATTGAATTTGCCGTTTTCACTCCATACATGGCACTTCATCAACTGTGGCACCAGAGCAGCACCAGGCACCGGTTTGGGCAGGGGCTGCAGGTGACTGCAGAGCACTGTGTGGAGGCACAGAGGCATGTGGCTGAGCCCTCGGGCTGGGGTCCTTTGATGTACAGGTAGCTGTGACCGTCCTTAGTATTCAGAGTGACTCTAATTCGTCCTTCCTCCTTTTCATCCCCATTTAAAGACATTACAAACAGGTTCTGGGCACTTTTTGCAGGTTCCCATCTGTACCAGTGAAAAGCATAAAAAGAGCTGGAAGGGAAACTGCAGGTGGCATTGGTGCTCTCTCCTTCCTGAACGTGCACCCGTGGAGGACCCTGTTTCATGCTCAAGAGGAGGCTCCCTCCTGTTCAGAAAGACAAAGTCAGACATAGAGACTAATCTCTGCATAGAGTGTTCATGCTGTTCTCACATTCCCAGATAGAACCTAGAGGTGCCTGACTGCATCCTCCTCCTTCCCCATCACCACCCCAGACTGTTCATACTTGCTTTGGTCACCCCTGGACTTACCACCAAGATGAAGCCACAGGATCAGCAATGAGACTGGCCAAGGATTCCTCTCCATTTATCCTGCCCAAGGTCCTCAGCAGAGGAACGTTCTGTTTTCTGCGTCAGAAAACAGGATTCTGCATCTGATTGCCCAGCCAGTCAGAGACAAGACCACATCAATGTCCTAGAAACACACCAACCATTTCTGCCTTAGAATCAGTTGTTACTGGTTCAAAAGGAGGAAGGGATCAAACCTGCTGTCCTGAGACCAGCTTCACAAACATTGAGACATCTCCCCTGAGTCACAACTCAAAGAGAACTGACAGCTTTTCAGAACTGCGTGAACTAATGGTGGACTGCTAGTGTTCAGCTTGGGACACTAGGATGGCAGTCTGTGGCAGGTAAAACATCTTGGCTAGCAAACTTTAATATGAATTTTCAGCAAAATTTTTAAAACTTTGAAATCCCCCAAATTATAGATGTTCACACATATCATGTGCTTTTGCCTTATGTACATTATTCAAATACAAAAGTGACAGCATAGAGGTACTATTAGTCACAATTTGCAAACAAGAAGACTAAAGCTCAAAGAGACTGAGTCATTAACTAGAGTCCAGACATCTGGGAAGTGGCTGGGTAAGAATCACAACACATTCTTGTCTGGTGTGGAGTCCGTGGTTTTGGAATCTGCCAAGTCACCTACATTTGTGATGCTCAGTAAATGTTTTAAATGTAATAATGGGAGCCTCCACTGTGGTTACTCTTCCTACGAGCCACAAAATGGGAACAATCCAGATGTTCATCAGCTGGTGAATGGAGAAACAAACTATAGTATATTAACTAATGAATTACTATTCAGCAAAACAGAGCTAAATACTAAAATATGCTACAGCAAAAATTAACTTCAGAAACCTTATGTTAATGAAAAAAGCCAGACACAAGAAGTCAAATACTGAAAGATTCCATGTATATGAAATATTCAGAAAATGAATGTATAGAGAGATAAAGTAGATCAGTGGTTGTCTAGGTCCAAGGGTTGGAAGATAGATTAACTGTAATTGAGCATAAAGGATCTTTTTGCTGTTATGAAAATTTTTAAATCTCAATGATGGTAATGGTTTCAAAACTCAGCTAATTTCCTAAAAATCATTGAACTGTAAATTCAAACTGGATGAATTTTATGGAATGTTAATTATACCTCCATAAAGTTACTTAAAAGTAAATGAGAATTATGTTCTAACTTGCCTGTTTCATAGTCCAGGAATAATGTTAGTTTGATTCAGCGTGCACATATCCATTTACACAGTGATTTTTCTGTCCAGAATTTCCGCAGGAGCTCCAAACATTATAAATGCATAATTCTCTGTTCCTTGTGAGCTCAAAATATAGTTGGAAAAATGTAATATGTCCAGGGAGATTTTAATATTACCGGATATCATTGATTAAGATTGTTCAGAACCAGAATGTACTTCTGGGAAATTGGTAGTGTAAACTGACTACATAACCTTCTTTCCAGTGAAATAAAGGAAACAGCATGGGGCAGGTGCTAACATCAGGGAAGAGAGCCTTCCATATACTTAAACTTAAATGGTGTTTCAAAAAGTGGAACGCAATTGCAAGGCATTTCAATGGCTAATCTCTATCTTTCCATGGCAAGAAAAGAAATGCAGCTATGGTTAATAAAGGAAATCCTAAAAAGTCTCATTAGTGTCTTCTAACTTATAAGTGTAAGGTGTAGGGTTAGGTGGGAACTGCTAGACAAACAGAAGCCACTACATGTCAGGCTCCTTTTTGGTTCTCCAGGTCACAGCGTTCCGTCCACCTGCTGATACGACAGTGAGGGCATCACCACGCCACTCAGACAGCCACTTCCTTTGGAACTTGTTTCTGATGAAAATACTAATCCCATGATAAATTCACCCACCTGTTAGAGGGGCTGTGTCCAGGGCAAGCAGTGGATACCTCCAATAAGGAGCCAGGAGCATTCCTTCAACTAAGAGGGCAGAATCCTGCAGCCTCAAGCCTCAGAATTATCTGAAACACAGGCCAAGACAATTGACCATGAGGTAAATTCAATAAATCTTGCCTGAAGTGACTTGAAGGACATAAATGTTGAGAATTCTAAGTAAACAACATGAAGTTAGTCAAGCTCAACCTTTTATATTAGTGTTTGAATAGCAAGGACTCTAGATAGAATTTTAGCTTTTGTACATTTATTCAACATATGTATGTTACAGAACCAGACGTGGGTCTGGTCAGCCATGTGCACCAAATCCAATCTACTGACACCCGGTGGTGGTGAAGGGAAGTGCAGCGTTTATTGGGGCACCAAGCAAGGAGTCCAGGAAGGTAGTGCTCCAAAGGCCCAAACAGCCCAATGGCTTTCAGGGAAAGATTTTTAAAGACCAGGGGGAGGGAGGTGGGTTTATGGGTGTGTGGTCAGCTCAAGACATTCCTCTGATTGGTTGGTGGTGAGATAATCGGAAGTCAGCATCACCAACCTCTGTTTCCAACTGGTCTGGGGTCTGCATGCTTGTGGGAGCACACAGTTAACTTCTTCCACCTGGTGGGGGCTTCAGCATTTGCAAAACAGCTCAAAGGACACAGCTCAGAATACTTTCTATAGCCCTTGAGGAGGAAGTAAAATTCCTTGATGTTCTTTAATGACTAAACTATTATTATTTTGTCTTGTTTGACAGTTTTCCTTTCTTTCCACCATTTTTCACTTTTCTGATTAATTTATTCTTGGGAAATCAGGGAAGGCCTAGGAGGCTAAAGTATTTCTATATACAAGTGACAGACAGAGGACATGGTTTGGGGGCAGGGGTTCTGTTCTGGGAAGGCCTCATAGTGTCCTGCTGGGTGACAATGTATATATATTGATTGAGCCTCCTGTGTGCTAAGCAGTGTCCAGGCACGGAGGATGCAGTAGTGAAGAGGAACTAAATGGCCTATAGTTAAGTAGGAGGAAAAAAATGGATATTTAAAAAAATAAGGTAATTCTAAAGAGTGATAAGCACTTTAAAGACAACACAATGCTGTACTGAAATAGTGACTCTCAATGGTGGTCCCAATGTGGTGAGGAAAGGCATCTGCTCTAACCCGGGTACGGCACCAAGGCTCCACTCTGACACTGACTCTGCAGCACCAGGCAGGCAGTCAACCTCTCTCATGTGCAATTTCTTTTTCTAGAAGTAACCAACATCCTTCTGTTGAGCACTGACCTCAGCATTGGCACTTATCACCCCATTCACTTCTGATAAGCCCCTGTGTAGTAGAAACACTCAATATCCACCTTCTAGATATGAGGAAATCGAAACAAAAAAATTAAATAATTGTCCCATGATCACTCAACAAATGACTAGTAGATCTAAGATACAACCCAAGCCTGTGATCTCAAGCATTTTACTACAGGGCTGCCCTAGATGGATGGATCCAACCTTGAAGGGTTTTAATGAGAATTCAGTGACAGCGCACATGCAAATCCCCTTGCACGACACCTTCCCTAGCTTAGGCACTCAACCAGATGCAGGCAATGAACAAAATTTGGGGGAGGGTGATGGTTGGGGCACAGAGTCTAAAATTGCAGAGGAATCTATCCACAAGACAATGTTCAGTATTTCCTGAGGTGTACTGGGCAGTTTACATAGCAGATTTCATGCATTATCCTAAGTAGCTATGGTCTACCACGTTTCTTATTTGTAATGGGAAATAACTCCACTGGGTGTTGTACTGAGAGACTGATGGCATATTATAATGTGCAATGAGTATACCAAGCAGTATTTGCTACAATTGTTTGTTTTTTTCCCATTATTGACCCTTGAATCCACTTCTAAGGATATTTCTATATGCAAGAAAGGACAGAGTAGTGGACACAATTTCACTTACCAGAGAAAAAATTCCCACCTTGTGCAACAATTCTGAGCTTTCTTCCCAAGGCAGCCTATTGCTCTCCCGTCCAAGGAATCCCATGTACTATATTTGTCTCTTGAAGTCGATCACGTTCACCTCTGGCAGGCAAAAGATGAAAACCCAGCTGGTCCTCCCGAATCCCCTCATGGTTTCTGCACGGGGAAGTTTCTGGACTTTGGTTCTGCAGTGGCTGGTGTGACTGGGCTTCCCCACCATTTTCTCCAGGAGCACTGGAGGGCGGCAGGGAGGCCAGCGGGAGCCTCACAATCTAGCTCACCAGGACACCAGGTGGCAGTGCTTCAGCTTTCGTTCTTCATACATGCAAAGTGCTAGAGCCTGATTCTCAAAAAAGGAAAATAGGAAGTTTTAGAGAAAGCATTCATAAAGGGGTGACATCTGAGCAAAGACATAAAGGGAGTCAGAGGTACAGCATGTGGATGTTTGAGGGGGTAGCGTTGCAGGAGGAAGGGCAAAGGCAAGGAGCAC